CTCTTGTCCTGCTTTTTTATTTTAATGAGTTTGCAAACTTATTTGAGCAAATGGTTGGTGGAACAAATACAGCAAAGATGTTGCAATTGAGCCAATATTACTGAAAGTAAAGAGACAGGAAGTTGTTGAGAGACATGATCACTCATATCCTTTTAACATTTGAAAAAAAAACATATCTATCTTGTTTTGCAATTTAATGGAAAACAGGATTTTAAGACATAATAATGCTTAGTTTTTCCCCACTAGATATTGACTGGAAGTTGGAAAAAAAAAAAAAAAGAAAATTCAGTCTTTTGTAGGTCAATTCTTATAGTCAGTTCCTGAGATTCATTTGATGTTATTTTACTAAAGGTCATCTACTAAGAATGTTGATTCACTGTGTCATGTGAGACAATTTTTCTCTACAGAATCTATCTTGCATATCTATAAGTCTACCATTTGCCCATGCTTTGAATATTGGTCTGGTACCCCTGCTATTTACCTTGAGCTCTTTGATCCAAAGAAGAATCAGCAATATTAGTGGTTCAGGACCAATTTCTGGTGGCTTAGCTTCAGTCACTTTCCCACCACTGTAAAGTTACCTCTCTGTATTTTTTCTATACTTTCCTGGTAATTGTTTGGATGAGCTCTTTGCTATGGTACCTAGACTTTATGAATTTACGCACAATACTAGACTGGCATCAAGATCTGATCAGTTTACAGTTGATCTAGCAAGATCTAACCATTAATTGTATGCTAACAGTTTCTTTTCTCACACTTCTTGCATGTGGAACTCCCTTCCAGTTCCATGCTTTTCAGGCAAGTTTAACCTGCAAAAATTTAAATGCAATGTCAATTGCTATCTACTGTCCTCCTGATTACTCTCTCCTCTTCTTGCTTATTATTGTTCTGTTCCTAATTCTTCCACACCCTATAGCCCCTTGTGTTTTAGTGGCTTTACTGCCTTGCATGGGATGATACCAATTTAAAAAAAAAAAAAAAAAAAAAACCCCAAAAAACCAACAATGTTAATGACTGGTACTATCTTGATTAGAAATGTCCAGAAGTGAAATCAGTGACTTCTAATTTCTTTGAAAAAATATCTTCAGGATTTACAAAATAGTTGAAACTTTTTCACATCATGTGACTTGTCATATAATTTACGATCTATTTATTTGAGAGACCAACTTTAAGTAGTTAATCTCAATAACAAATAGACAATAGGAATCTGCTCTGTTACACTTTGACCTTAATCAGAAAATCTTCAAAACCAATCAACAGCTGCACTAATCAAGTTTCTTATTTTGCTTACCGTCAAAAGTTATATTAATATGATGATGTAGATAATTGCTTGCAAGTTGAGTGTTTTGGTTAGTCACTCACCTGATTGACAAAAAATATGCCACAGTGATGTTTGGCTAATGTGACTCATAGATATTAACATACCAAAAATGTAGAGTGAGGCATGCAAATAATACTAATAATATTTAACCTGTTCACCAATGACATGGCATTAAATATTTATTGAAATATTACAAAAGGATGCAAACTTTGTAAAAAGGATGGATTTATTCACACATATATTATATGTGCATGCATGTACATATGTGTCTGAGTTGTTACAATGTTTGCTTTCCAACTATGAAGTTCAGTGCATGTATGTATGTATCTATGGAAGCACTTGTACACAAATACAGATTCCGATGGACAGGCCATGTTATTCACATGGCAGATGACAGAATGCCAAAACAATTAATGTATAGAGAATTGGAAATGGAGGAGAAAAAGACTGCAGCATAAGGCAAAACTTTGTTACAAAGATTGCCTTAAAGAATCACTGTACAAGTGCAATATTGGTTTGAATAACTGGGAGACTTTAGCTGAAGACCAGGTTTCTTGGAGAGCTGGTATTGCTGTTGGTGTCAAGATCTTCCATGAGGCATCATAAAAATATGCAAAACTGAAGAGAGGGGTTCAGAAGGGATCCCTGAATTGCCATGAGGTGCCAACCTGGCCTTGTGCTCAATGCAATCAGATATGTCTGTCCAGGTCAGGTCTGATCAGTCACCAGAAATCACACCAATACCAACAGTCTATTGGATTTCGTAATGGCATGCTTTGAATGCCCAACCTGCACTAGTGTGTGCAAGTCCAGGTTGGTTTTGACAAGGCATATAAAAAGACGCATTAGAAGTAATGATGTTCAGTCAACTTCCACTAGCCAGAGATGATTTGACATACCATATATGTAACAAGAAATGCAAATCGATGGCTGGCTTTATGAGCCACTGTCGTTCACACAACAAATGAATGCAGTTTTGTGGGGGGAGTTTAATTGATGAACTGGACATGTCGGTGATAGTCATACTCACTTTGTGAGTCGACGGCCACTATATATGTACATATGTATGTGGCTGAGTGGTTAGAATGTTTGCTTTCCAATTTGAAGCCCAGGTTCAAATCTCACCATGGTTATTTTTTCACTTCTTGATGTTAGTGATCTGAAGAGGTGATTACAGCATGTGGTACCTTTGAAAAAGTACCTGAAAGCCATAGCATGTGTGTTGACCCAGGCCCTGTGATTGAAATTGGGTAGATAGATCTATTTGGAAGCTGTTGATGGCTGTGCTAGAAGAATGCGTTTGTTTGAGCAGGCGTCTGCAACAGGAATTAGCAAGCCATTCTAGTATGGGTATAAGGTTTTTTTTTGTTTTTTTTTTTTTTTTTCTTTTCATATTCAATTTATTTTCCAGTTTGTAAATTTTTTTATGCTAGGTGCTCAAAATACTATTAAGTTTTAATGATTTTTGCATTTCAGGAGTCAGTTCAAATAATTTACCACAATTTTAATATCAATCATAAACTCTTTCACTCTCCTATGTTGTTATTCTAACAAGGGACCTTAGCACACAATAGCTGTGACCTTACTAGACTCATGTTAATGAGAAAAATAAAGTAGAAATACTAATTCTTCAAAACATTACAGAGAATACTATACACTTATGACAAACTGAACAATGTCATTTGGGATGTGTTAACAAAAGATGATCTTTTTTACATTTTGACTAATGTCCTCATCGTTGTTATCACCTTTTGGCTGTTGTGCCCTCTGACCTCCTTCAGGTGTCTATTGATCCAAGTAACCTTCAAGGAATGATTTGAACTAAACCCTTTATTAAATCTATGACATGGATTGTTCTCATTCTGTTGTCGATTCCTAATGATATTTAATCTGTTTCTATTTAGTATTGCTTGGTTATTACTCACCCTATTTCCATGCCTCAGTCATTGAACTCTGTTACGATGTTACCAAATTCACAAACCGATATTTTAATCCAATAGTCTATTTTCCCTTCAAATAAGATACAAGAAAAAAATATAACCATTTCAGATAATTTGGCTTTGCTTCATCATGTTGAAACCCCAATTCCTGTACAATCACCAAAGTTAAGCAACATTGAGCCTAGTCATTATTAGATATTTGACTGCTTGGGAATACAAGTGCTGTAAGCTTGGATGTGCAGGTATAATGGATTGGAATTGTTAATTAGATTGTCGAGTTCCAATTCCAGTTGGGTTCATTATATTCACTTACTCTTCGGAAAGCTATAAATCTACTTCTTTTTCCTCTCAGTTATCGGTAAGACTTGTATCACTAAATTATTATCTCAAAAAAAAAAAAAAAATCCCACAATCTAAAAATGGTTTTTTGGCTTTAAATGAATGTAGAAAATGAATCAATCTCTTGATAATTTTGATAAATGTTGAGAAACTTTTTTTTCCTCATTGTGTAAATATTTTTTCCGTTCCCTAAAAATACTAGATATGGAAATGCACAAAAAAGTTTCTTTATTATTGTAATGTAACATTAACTGAATACATGTAAAGTTTCTGCTGTATTTGTTGTCTATTAAATGTTGAGTATTGTTTAAAATGTATGTTCTTGATTATCGTAAATTGTTAAGCCTGATTTTCTGATATCTGGAATTTTTTTGTTTTTCTCTCACTCACACACACACACACACACACACACACACACATATATATATAGAAAGAGAGCGGGAAGATGAATGAATTAATGAATTTATTTTGATTACTTTCAATGTTATTATAGTGGTTATTTGCATTAGAAATAGATACCCCTTTTTTTAAATTGTGCACACAAATACTAAAATATAAGCTTAAGCCTAAAATATAGAATAAACTGAGGGCTTAGTGCCAAAATTGGCACTGCTCAAATATTGTGTATTATAATAATATTAAAATGATAATCAAAATTGTTTCATGTTGTAACACAATCATAACGTACTTTATATTAATATTATTGTTGTATATAAACACTAGAGTTCAAAAGTTTGAGGTGACCCTTGATAATTTTTTGAATTGCCCCAAAATATACATGGTTTAAAAAAAAAAAAAAACTGAGACAATTTTTTTATTAGAAATTTTATGACAAAAAGAAAAAAATAATTTTATGATTTTGTTCTTGTCAAAATATCCTCCTTTATCCTTGATTACTGCAGCATAAATTTTTGGCATTCATTGCAAAAGTTTCTCAAAGTATAAATCTGATAATTGATTCCATTCTTTTCTCAATGACTCTAAGAGCTCTTTTTGTATTTGTTGAAACTTGGATAAGCATGGAATAATAATAATACAACACAAAATGTACATAAACAAAATGTATTGAAACAAGGAAAAGGTACACAATATTTACAGTTAGTTTTGGTATGTTCTTGGGAAGACTGTTCCTGCAGAATGGGTTGACTAAATCGCAGTCGGGCAGAGTCTCTGGATCGATCTCTTCTTACTCCCCCGTCTTCCCGGTACCAACCCATATTTATATGGTCGGTACTCCACTTATGTAAATTAGGTGTATCGTACCACAACAGTATTTTTATTTTTTATCACTGTTCTGTCAAGTTCATTACATGCTAATTCTGGGGGTGGCTTCAAACTTTTAAACTGTAGTGTATATATTAATATATGAAATAAATTTATTTCTTGCTTATCTCTTTCAGAAATGGAGGATTATCTCAAATACATTGGGGCAGGTGTAGTTACAATTGGTGCTGTCTCTACAGCACTCCTCCTAAAAGCTACACCTCAAGCCATTGAGCCTCTGGTTGATCTCAACAAACAGTCAATTGTTATTCCAGTAAGTATGCTTTATTTTGAAATTCAAATCTAAACTTTTTTTTTTTTTTTTTTTTTTTTTTTTTTAAACAAAGCAAGTGATTTATAACCTACAATGGGATCAGTTTTCCCATTAGTCACTGTTTTGGAGTAAATTCAGTCAGTCAGTTAAGTGCCATATGTGATGCACGCTTGGGTGATTTTTGTCTCTTTTGATTCATGGCTGACTAGGCAGAAGATTTTCCCCGCAGTAGACTGATTGCCAGCCAAGGCTATAGGACCCAATCTGCTCTGCTATTCAACCCATAGCTATGGAGAGAGGAGATGGACACGTACCTTTTCCAAGGGTATTTGTGTGTAAGTAAATGTAACAAACCAGACTGGAATTGGAACTTAGTTCTCCAATTTTTCATTCCGAGCCAACATCCATCACACCATAATGCACATTTGTAAATTGCTTTAAAAAAAAAAAAAAAAATATTACTATTTAAATATGAGTGTGTGTTAGTATGTGTAGTGTGTGAATATGTTTATGTGCGCAAGAGTGCCCACTTCCCTCCTTATATTTTGTTAATAAAAATTGATGGAAATTTTTGTAAACATGAAGTGTTTGAAATTTTCAATTTGAAACAATTTTTTATTTTTTTTTTATTTTTTTTATTTTTGTCTGAATTTCTGGGATGAGGAGTTATCTTTATTACACTTTTTATATTCAGACTATTGTCCTCATCTTTGTTGTTATTATCACTTGATCACCCTTTGTCTGAATTTCTGGGATGAGGAGTTATCATTATTTACACTTTTTATATTCAGACTATTGTCCTGGTCTTTGTTGTTGTTATCACAATGTTTCGGCTGTTGTGATCTCCAGCCTTCATCAGGTGTATATTGATCTTGATAACCTACAGGGAAACCTAAACTGAACCCTTTATTTAATCTGCAGAGGTAGATTTTAGGTTATCCAGATCGATATACACCTGAGGAAAACCAGAGGGCACAATGGCCAAAATGTTGTGATAACAACAACAAAGATTAGGACAATAGTCTGAATATAAATTGTGTAAATAGTTTTTAAAAATTTTTATTTGTGAAATATTATCCCTGATAGCTGACTGGATGGTGGGATCTTTATGGAAACCTTAGTTTTATTCATTTGGACTTTTTTAAGTATTGGAAAAAGACATTTGCTGAAAGAAATTAATTTATTTAATTAGTGGAAATTTGCTGCCATCATCATTATCTCTTGTTGAATGCAATAAATCATCTATGCCTCCTGAAATACGCTATTTCAATGTTTATGGCCTTAATTTATCGTGTAAGTTAATAGAACAACCTAGTCTTGATATAAAGATGCTGGTAGTGGCAGAGTTCCAACTAGTTTGTGATTAATTTATATTAACTTAGATCTTTTATTTAATGATCAATGGTGAAAAGTTCTTGGTTTGATACACTTAACAAACATCTGTGTGTGTTGCAGTTTTGGTAAGTGTTTAACTGCTCGCCTTTTATAAAGGTAGCTTTCTCGGCAAGCTTTATTGCTGCACTTGAAATTGTTCTTGTGGCAAAGATTTTTCAGCTGTCTTTAACCTTTGTACCCTTTAAAAAACCTGTCAAAATGACGTTTTTTTTTCCCCTTGACACCGCTATTATTTCGACTATCTTCACTCCCTTGGCAATCTTTGTTTTAAACAGCGATGTATAGAATTTTAATAAAACCCAAACACATGAAAGTGAATTTATATTTTCTTTGTTCTTTGAGAATTTACAACAAAAATATTAAACACTATTAGATTGAAGAACAATTTTTTTTTTTTACAATATTCTAAAATGTGAACCAATACAATGCAATGTTTACCATTTATAAAGAAATATTTGTTTTATAATTCATTGCTATTTTGATAAAATTATGAATAAAAAAACTTGTTTTCATAATTATTTATAAAATGTTAAATAATAAATATTACATTGTAGATTACGTACTTTGATAATTTTGTAATTTGGAAAAAAAATGTTTTTTCTTATTTCGTAATGGTAAATGATAAATCTTTATAAAAGGTAAATTATATTGCATTGTATGTGTTTAACATATTTTTATAATCTTGTAAATAAACGTTGCTGAGCGAGTGACTGTAATACAAAATAATAGCAGTGTAAAAGGTAAAACCGTCCTTTGGACGCACTACATTTTTATGGGCATGAAAGTTAAATTTTGATGATTCTTCTATGAAAGTCTGGTCAAATCTATTGTCAGGAGTGAGATGGCAAGGATTAACACCCACCTCCAAACAACTGGGATCTTAGTTCTGCTTTCACTGCTGCATTATTGCCTGGCTGTGTTAGCCAATTTGTGGGGAGGATAAAAATAGTTTGTCATTTACTGGAAATAAATGACTATAAAGACATCATCGTGTGTTGACCGCAGTCAAGATCATGGAGTCCACAACACTATGCCAGACCTCCTGGTCTTTCATCGCTGTCTCCAAGTCCTGCCTATAAATGCCAGGATCACTTGAGATGATGTCAGGGAATGATAGTTTTCTGTTCCTGGTCAGATGCAGGCTTCCAGAGTAGGAGAGAGGAGACAGCCTCATTCTTGGTACGGTGGCAGTGGCCAGCAAATTGTGCTTGACGAGCTCGTATGAGAGAAGAAACATGGAGGGGAAGGCTGTTGTAGATTCAGCCTCACTATAAAGACACTTTTTCGTGTGTGCTGACATTTTAGCATTAATCAAATATTCTGCTGTACAGATTAAGGTAAGCAACACCCCCAACACACAATATAATAAAAACAAGTCACCAAATACGTCATATTGAATGCTACTATATGTTTACACTAATTTGAAAATACTACTAAGTGCTAGTTAGTTTATAACAAATGTGAGGGACCAACATTTTATGATGACTTCAAAACTCTCGTTCCACAAAGTTTCCAAACAACCCTCCTCTGGTTTTTAATTCAGTTTTTCTTCTGGTCTGTCTTGCCGACCAAGGTTATAGGTCCCGGTCCATCTTGCCGACCAAGGCTATAGGTCCCGGTCCGTCTTGTCGACCAAGGCTATAGGTCCCGGTCCGTCTTGCCGACCAAGGCTATAGGTCCCGGTCCGTCTTGCCGACCAAGGTTATAGGTCCCGGTCCGTCTTGCCGACCAAGGTTATAGGTCCCGGTCCGTCTTGCCGCCCAAGGTTATAGGTCCCGGTCCGTCTTGCCGACCAAGGTTATAGGTCCCGGTCCGTCTTGTTATTTATCCATAACTGGATTCATACCTTTCACAAGATTATTTGAGTCTAAGTGTATGTAACAAACTAGACTGGAATTTGAACTTGACTCTCCAATTTCTCATTCTGAACCGCTCTCCATGGCACCATCTGCACACCCACACTATGTGCTAGTTCTCTGTATTAGGTTTCTTCTTAACAGTGTGGTTGGTTCTGCACCAAGCATATTAATGAATTTCTATGTGTGGTTAGTTTGGCTGTTTCATTCTAAGAACTGAGCTACTGGACCCTCATGCATAAAATTACAGGAAGGTCGATTTTTATACACATCCATACACGCAAATATTATTTTTAGTGAATACCTATGTTCGAAATAGATGCCCTGTTTTTATTTTAAAGTTTGTATTAAAAACTTAAATAAAATACAGTCTGCTGGAGAGCACATTTTAAGTTTTCTGGAAATCCCGACTGTAATATTAATAAATGTTGTTTAAAATAAAAGTAGGACATATATTTTTATATATAAGTACAACAAAAACATTACTATAGTCCAATGTTTCTCATCCTTTGTTACTTCAGGGCACACTTGTAGACTAACTAAAACTCTGGGGTGCACTTGAAATTTTAATAATGATAAATTAGTTATGAATTATGAAAACAGGAAAGTAATAAAGAAGTCCCCTGAAACAAATATTTATTTTTAAGACTTGGTGTTTCTAGCATAAAAAAAATTAAAATATTTTAAATATAAAAATAATTCATATATTACTCTTGAAGTGCACATAGCTACCTTTCAGGATGTATTAGTGTGCCCAGGCACACCAGTTGAGAAATGCTGCTTTAGTTTGATGTCCTAAAGGACAAAACGAGTCGCGTAAAAAAAAAAAAAAAAAAATAAAAAAAGAAATAAAAAATATTACTTTGGAGTGGTGGCATTTGGGAAGAATTATATTCACCAACATCAAGGGATAATAATTATCTTAATGAAGAATAAACGGATATATACCATATTTGCTGGCCTATTGGATGCACCCAGATTTTGGCATGGAATATTTAAGAAAAACAAATGCACACATAGCCAAAAAAAAAAAAAAAAATCAAAATTATAACCTTACTTTTATGTGACCTTCTCACTAACCATGAAGAAACACTTATGGTATCAGCACAAATTATACTACTACTTTTTTTTTTTTTTTTTTTTTTTTTAAATAGAAGTGAGGTAAGGTTTAATTACCAGGACATTTTGGGGGGAAGAAGAATTTTAGTACATTTCATGATGCATTTATTGAAAATTGTTTTAGTTGTTTTTCAGGGAGCAACATCTACACATACAGTAAATTCATAATAGTTGCAAAGAAATCTATACTGGTATCAGTGAGCACTGGTAGATGTGGTAATAGGCAAAAAAACAGAAATAGGGTATTGTTTGTAAATGAAGTCCCATACCATAGATGCAGAAAAGCAAATTCCAATAGTTGTATATCGATAAAAATAAAAAAAAAAATGTCTGATTTCGTATGCAGAACACCCAAGTCCAGTTAATGCTGTGAAAAAGTCTGTGATCAATTTTACACTGTATTAATATTATGAACAGGACCCACCTCTTAAAAGGATAAATCAGTATTTTTCATTTCTGACAAACGTGACCTGAGGAAGGTTTAACAAATGCTAAACTACAAAAATTATTTCTAAAAAAATTTTTTTCCTTTTTTTTTTTTTTTTTTTTTTTAAGTGGACCCGTTTACTTAAGTAGTACCAAATATATTAACTTGATAGCTTTCAATTTATAAAAAAAATGACTTTGTTTCTCACTATTTGTGTATAATGCAAATGAAGCAAAATTAAATGATTTTCGTTAGAATAATAAGTTTAAATCTTCTATTTAATTTCTTTTTAGATGTATAAAGTATAAATTACTTTCAACTTATTTAGACTTTAATACTAAATGACATGGTTCTATATTCTACATTTTTTACACTATTTACATTGTTCGGACTGTTGTCCTCATTTTTATTGCCGTATTCACAACATTTCGGCTATTGTATACTCTGGCCTTCTTCAGGTGATATACCCTTTATTTCGTCCACCGGGGTAGATTGTTCTAGTTCTATATGCCATGACTTTTCTGGCTATCAGTTTCAATTATTTCCCTTTAGTAACTCAAACTTTCCAAGTCTTTGTTCACCTTTGCAGGTGGCCAGGTATTGAACTCACAACTCTTTGGCTCAAGTCACTGGATTGCTTCAATCAATGATTTTATTCACTGGGCCAGGGAAATAACTGAAACTGAGATATCCAGAAAAGGCATGGCATGTGGAACTAGAACAATCTACTCTGGTGGGTGAAATACAGAATTTGATTTGAAATTCCAACATATATCACCTGAAGAAGGCCAGAGTGTACAATAGCTGAAATGTTGTGAATATGACGATGAAGATGAGGACAACAGTCTGAACAGTGTAAATAGTTGCAATACCTCATCTTAAAAATATAGACATATATAATTTTCATATTAGAAATCTTTGACTTCTTTTAATAAGTTATGTCTGTGTGACTTGTATTTATTTACAGATCCCATGCCTGTATATAATGAGATACTTTGGTCTTTTAAAGATTACAGAGAATGTGTATTAAAGAATAAATGTTAACAAAAACAAATGCCGAGAAATAATTTACATTTCAATAGAAACCATGTGTAGTCCGATGTATACTGAAAATCTTAGCAAGAAAAGTGAAATGTATTGTTTGATCATATTACTGTATTTGTTGGTGTCAAGGGCGCATTTTGTTTTTTCTGAAATAAGTCTAAAAAAACTTGCATAATATCAGGAATTCTAGCATAGATAACATTCCATTGGGGTTAGCATAGTCCTATGAAAAGCCTAACCTTCATCCTCAAGGACGCCTGGCAAATTTTCAAGATTTGTTTCCGGAAAAAACAAAATACAAACTATTAATGTGGGCAAATATGGTATATAGTTAAGAATTGAAGGCACATTTCAATTTAATTTATTTTCATTCAATGTCTTAATGCTTAGAAAATCTTTTATTTAATGCTTGTTTAATATTTGTAGAAATTCTTAAAAGGAGTTAGTCAGGCTAATAAGTTGGGTGTCCTACATATTTGGCCTTAACCTAACAAGGGTTGGCATATAAAATCATCCAACCTTATCCAGGCTAATAATCACTTCAGTAAATTTTTTTAATTTCACATTTAAAAAAAAAAAAAAAAAAATGCATAATTTCAACACTTCTAACAGTAAGAAGAATGGGTTGCATGCACATGTAACTAGAAAGGGACAATAATGATAGAATCAATATTAACTTTCCACACCTACCAGAAACAAAAGGTTTGGAAGGAAACTCTTATAGTGGAAAGAGCTATAACACTTAGTCAAATTTTGTGAAAACAATTCATTTAATCTACAAGAATGGTTCTATGCTTATTTGACTTTGAAAGTAATGGTTCCCATACAGTCACTGAAGTTAAGCAATATTGAGCCTGTCGGTACCAAGATAGGTGACCGCTTGGGAATAACAGGTGCTGTAAGCTTGAATGTGCGGGTGGTGTAATGGATAATTGCTCGAAATTGTTAATTGGAGAGCAGTTCCAATTCCAGTTATGTTTATTATATTCACTTATACACAAATATCCTTGACAAATGCATGAATACACCACATTTCCACCAACTATTTGTTAATTAGTAAGACTTGTACCACTAAACTATTATTTAAAAAAAAAAAATCTTCTTACAATTTAAAAATATTTCCTGGCTTTAAATAACCTGCAAAGGGTTGCTAATTCATAAAAAACGAATCATTTAATCTATGCTTATTTATCTCCTCTTTCATTTTTTTTTTATTCAGATTTTTTTTTTCTATATCTCTGTTCTCTTAAAATATTAAGACAAATTTACATTATATAGATTTATATAAGTTTTGACTTTGTCTATATCTCTGAGATGAGGTATTATGATTACTTACATTATTTACATTATTCGGACTGTTATCCTCATCTTCATTGCCATATTCACAACGTTTCAGCCGTTGTATGCTCCAGACTTTGTCTATGTCTCTCTATATATCTGTCTATATCTCTGAGATGAGGTATTATGATTACTTAACCTTATTTACATTATTCAGACTGTTATCCTCATCTTCATTGCCATATTCACAATGTTTTGGCTCTTGTACACTCTGGCCAATTGATTGGAATTTCGAACTGAACTCTTTATTTCATCCATTGGGGTAGATAGTTCTAGTTCCACATGCCATGCCTCTTCCGGATGTCTCAGTTATTTCCCTTTAACTCAACATTCCAAGTTTTGGTTCACCACTGCTGTAGCCTGGTGTGTCCTTGAGGACATGTGGCCCAGTAGATAAAGGTGTTGGTTAGATCAAGAGTCTAGACCCAAAAGCGTTGTAAGTTCAATAACAGGCTGCAGCAGTGGTGAACCAAAACTTGGAGAATTGAGTTAAAGGGAAATAACAGTGGCATTCAAAAGAGGCTTGGCACATCAAACTAGAACAATCTACACTGGTGGATGAAATAAAGGATTCAGTTTCAAATTCCAATCCTCTGAAGAAGGCTGGAGTGTACAATGGCTGAAACATTGTGAATATGGCAATGAATATGAGGGCAACAGTCTGAATAATGTAAATAATGTAAGTTTTGACTTTTTAAAGATTTTATTTTTAGAAATAAAACTAGGATATCATTTTGTAAACTTAGACATAATTGAATTAGTGTCTTTGTTCATAGTTTTGCTGTAAACTGAGCTGGTAACTTGATTTTTAACTAAACATAATCCAGTTTTACCAACATGCTAAGAATTTTCGGACCTATATAGATTTACAGCTTAATAAAGACACACCCAATAATTCTTAGGTTTACTTTTAGTTGAAAGTGAATCTTTAAAATTAATCTTTTTGCAAGTTCTTTTTCTGTATCTTGCAAAAAAAGATTCTAAACTTCAATTTAAATATTTTTAATGTGAAATATCTTAAATATATAAAGATGGAATATATGAAAACCAGTTGATGTTGAAAATTTATTTTCTTGTTAATATTTTGCTCCTTTTATGAGAGCATTATCAAATATAACTATTTTTTCCTTTTTTTTTCCCATGATGCCTTGTTTAATTTTGTACTATCAGAAATAATGTAAATAAAATCATTATTTACTGCTGTTTATCTAAAGATTCTGACCCTCTTCAATCCTAACAAATTTTGGGGGTCAGTTTGAAAAAAGAAAAAAATTGACACATTTCATGATCCCTTAGATAATTTTATATTTGGTTACTCATTTGATACCACCTTCAAAATAATAATAAAAAAAATTAAATGCTATGTCTCTAAAAGAGAATGTGGAAATGTCACCACTTTCTGAAGTTCTGTGATCAACTATTTTCAGAGTGTGTGTTTCTATTGTCTTAGTTTTTGTTTTTAATATAACCCTTCAGCTGATATATTCTTTGGTCCCTTCTCACTCTGCTGCATGTTAAATTTTATGGTCTTGGAAAATTACTTTTATTTTTTTAATAGAAACACCAATCTCACAGAATCCCAGGACTGAGTGCTACAGTCTTATGTTAATATTATTCAGATTAGAACAGATGACACAAGCAGAAGAGCTCTTCCTACAAGAGCTCTGCCTACAAAGAATTAACTTGTCCCATCAAAAAGCATTAACATTTCTTGAAATGGAATGAATGAAATATCAAAGTCATACAAGCAGTACAGCAACTGGTAACCTGAATATATTAACAAAATGACTAGTGATAAGAAAATGATTATAACAATTTTATTATCACATTTAATGAAATAATTTTGTTTCTTACATTTACTAATTATGGCTTAATATGAAGGGCTCAACACTACTGGTGCATTTGCCCAGAAAATATCCAATTATTTAACATGGGGAATGTTGCCTTAGTCCATTTCAAAGTCGTTCTCTTATCTTGCACACATCCCAGTATGCCTTCCATTTAAAAAAACAAAACAAAAAAAACCCCACTAAATACACTTTAATGTCATTAAGGGTTGCTATCAGCTGCCTTGTCACATTCTCCTTAATGTTGTTCACTGCAGTGGTGATTTTTAGCTTTGAGAGGTTGAAAGTTTGGAATATTTACAGACTAGGCTGATAAGTTTTGCAAATAAAAAAAATAAATAAAAAAAAAAAATCCACCGCATAAAATGTAAAAGAATTTATATGCTCAGTTATTGTGAATGTGATGGTCACATAGTATACATGCTCACTCACTGGTATCTTGTTTGCTTAGTTTTTAAACTTTTTTGTTATGCCTTAGTCTGTTTGGACTATAGACATATGGTTTGCAATATGACAACATACATGACTGGAAAAATTAATAATTAGTTTTTGTCTACAACACACACCTAAATTTTAAAACTAGAGAAAAAAAACAGTATATTAAAAAGAATTGGATGGCAGATTAAATTCTTGAACTAATGAGAGGCAGCAGATGATAAGAATGGCACAGAATATAGGATGTTATGTAATGATCAGAAAGGAATGCAAGCAAGCAAATAGTGAATGACTCAATAAGGTGTGCAGTGACAAAAACACTATGGAACATAAATATAGCAAGCATGTATAAAAAGAGAAAAGAAATAACAGGACAGAATAATACTCTTTGACGATACATATATGCTAAAAAGGGGATGCTTGTAATTAAAAAAACATACTACAAAGATGGAACAAACAAATCAGAAAGCTCTACCATGTTAACAGGAGAGAAACCTACATTATATAAAACCTGGAAGAATCTGTCCTGTTAAAATTGTGGGTAAGATTGGCACTGATAAAGATAAACAGAACATAAAGTAGTTGCACGAGATAGGATTGTAACAGATGCTTTAGATGATTTTGGGATCAATAAGATTATGGAAATCATAACGAAACCCTGCCAAAATACCAAAGGACCACAGTAGGTTTAGTTTCCTAGTGATATCAAAGAGGCCAGGTGTAAATAAATAAGTCCAAATGAAAATCAGCTTAATGATCCGTATAACTATGTAATTAGGATTCTAATGACTAGAGCTCATAGCAGACATAGGACATAGGGAAAGAATAGTGTCTTTGTTCAAGATACTAGAACAAAAATTATTTTTTATGATCAGAATGCTATTAAAGCAAGCAGTACAAATAGAAAAAGACTTATCATAGATTATACAAAAGCATTTGATAAGGTGTGACAAAGACCTACTTGAAGTACGAGGAAAACTTAGATTACATGGGAAAGATTAGAATAATTCATAACCTTTTAATGGGAACAAACAGCTTGTATGTGGGTAAAACAAGTTCAGTGAATATGCAAAAAATAAAGAGATAAATGTACCAGATTCATCTCGCCTATAGAGTGGGTCGGTCAAATTCATCTTGCTTATACAATTTTTTTTACAAAAATTAAAAAAAACCTACCAGGATTTATTATTGGCAAACATAATTTTGAAAAAATATAAATGAGATTATGTTAACACAGAATTGAAAAGAAAACTGAAAGAAGTCTTAGATAAAGTAGTAAAGGAAAACAAGATATAAGGGTTAACTATTAACTGTAAGAAGATTGAATACATGGTTGTCTGCAAAAGCAACAGCCAAAATGTGTGCATCGCAATGGCAAGATGAAACACCTATAGAAATTCACTCATCTTGTTAGTGTAGTAGTAACATATGACAAAAATTTAACAATTCAGGTGTGCAACCTAGTAAAACTAACTGTGCTTTGCACTTCTTCCCAAAAGTTGGTTTTGATTGGTCAATGTATGACTATTTTACAGGGTATGACAGATGAACTAACGGAAGTCACAGAATTTTATATATAGTTAGATAAAAATAATTCATAAATTACTCTTTTGTTAATTTGGAGTTCACCTGGATAACTTTCAGGGTGCATTAGTGCACCAATTGAGAAACACTTGACTAGCACAAAGTTGAGTTTTTGCTGCTCAAATTCCCAAGTTATTGTTGAAATTTTTTTCATTCATAGAATTATCTGCATTCATTAGTTTTCTTCCTTGATTGAAAGAACACACAATTATTTGCTTGAATGGCTCTAAATAATTCTAGTCTACATGAGATTTAATTCATCTTAAGACTGAGATTGAAAGAATGTTTATTGTGGAATTTTCATGCTAAAAGGCCAGTGAGAAAATGTCATTTTGCAGGCATGCACACTGTATACCTCTAGGGATTTCTTTTTTTCATTGAGGAAGCTCTAAAATGTGAAGGTGAATTTTAAAGAATATATGAAATAACAGAAGAGCTTCCATTTGAGAAGTCTTGTATCATCCTACACTGTTATTAACCAATATGTAGGCCATTTAAACTTTCTCTTTAAACTGCAATCCAATATTGTAGGCATTGCATTAATTCTTCCTTTTTGTTTATTCTTGTATTTGTACATAATTACATTTATTTACACTGTTTGGACTGTTGTCCTCATATTTATTGACATATTTATGACATTTCAACCATTGTATGCTCTGGCCTTCTTCAGGTGATATATGTTCAAATTTTCAAAAAGAA